GAGTATAAAGGAGCTACTGAATCAGACCATCCAGACAACAGAGCAACAAAAATACCTCTGTAAATTGCTTGGGTACTCATTCACAATTGAGTACAAAAAGGGCAGTAGTAATGTGGTAGCAGATGCGTTGTCAAGAGTGCATGATGATGGGGGGCTGCACACCTTGATTTCAGAACCGGTCTTTAATGTTCTTGAGGAAGTAAGGAAGCAAAACTCACAGGATCCTTATCTGTTACAATGTCATGAAAAATTAAAAACTGATCCTGGAGCGGATAGTTCATTGTCAATTAAGGATGGTATCTTGTTCCATAGTAACCGTTTTTTATTAAGCTCCAATTCTTCTTTGATTCCAATTCTGATTCATGAATATCATGCTACACTAGTGGGAGGGCATGCAGGGGTTTTGCTCACGTTCCTTCGGCTCTCTGCCACTTTTTATTGGAGTTCCATGAGAAAATATGTGAAAAATTTTGTGGCTCAATGTCTGATTTGTCAGCAAGTTAAATATGAAACGAGCAAACCGAGTGGACTACTGCAACCTTTAACTGTACCAGAAGGGGTGTTTGAAGACTTGTCTATGGATTTTATTGTGGGATTACCTATGTCTCGAGGATACTCAACTATTCTAGTTATAGTTGATAGGCTCTCAAAATTTGCCTATTTTAGCAGATTGCCTCAATCCTTTACTGCAGTAACGGTGGCCAAACTCTTTTGTGAGTTAGTAGTATACAATCATGGCTTTCCTAGATCAATAGTGACTGACCGAGATCCTATATTCGTGAGTCAGTTTTGGTCACAGCTATTCAAGTTAAGTGGAACTTCATTGCACACTAGTTCCGCATATCATCCGCAATCGGACGGGCAAACTGAGGTAACTAATCGTTATCTTGAACAGTATTTGCGTTCTTTCTGTCACGAAAAACCGAATTGCTGGTCAGAATTTCTAGGATGGGCACAATTCCATTACAATTCAAGTGTGCATTCAAGCATTGGTATGGCTCCATACACTGTTGTCTTTGGTAAGCCACCTATGCATATTCCTTCTTGTCCTAGAGTATTAATAAAGGTGGAGGCAATTGATGCCTTATTGGTGCAAATGGATGAAATCCTCTCACGGCTAAAATCTCAGCTACTGCAAGCTAGAAACCGTATGAAAATGCAAAGTGATAAACACAGGAAGGATCGTTCGTTTGAGGCAGGGGAATTAGTTTGGGTGAAATTGCAACCTTATAGACAGGTTTCTGTTGAAAGGCGTGCTAGTCATAAAATTGCCAAACGCTATTTTGGACCTTATCCAGTTGAGAAGAAGATAGGAAGTGTGGCTTATCGTTTGCAATTACCTCCTGATTGTCAGATTCACCCTACCTTCCATGTCTCTTTACTCAAGCCATTCCGTGGAAATTTGGACAAGCAGCCTGTACCCCTTCCTTCCAGGGCAGAGGAGAACAGACCACTGCAAGTTCCATTGCCAGTGTTGGCCAAGCGCATTGTTCATGTCAGAGGAAATCCACAACGTCAATATTTGATTCAATGGACCAATTCGGTGCCGGAAGACGCTTCCTGGGAAGTAGAGGAGTTTTTGCAGCATTGTTATCCCTCTCTGAACCTTGAGGACAAGGCCATATTTGAAGAGGAAGGGAATGTTACAAGAAGAAGCTCTAGGAGAGAAAAGCAGCTTTCAGTGAGATTGAAAGATTACGTGGCTTAGCTTAAGTGGGTGCATGTGAAACGTGTCATAGAAGTAGATGATGTATTGTGTGTGTGGCACACATATGCCTTTAGTAGTAACACTTTCTGTATTGGGTGTGTTAACCGTAATACGTGGTCATAGGATAAGTACATATTGATTCATATAAGACACACATTGTAGCATTGTAATTACTACTCAGAATATACAATCGGTTATTTTTCTTTCTCGTGTTTCTCTGTTCTTCTCTTGTTAGGTCAATTCCTAACATCAGTGCATAATGAAAAGCTAATAGCGATGTTAGAATTAATCAATGCTAAAAGTAATAGAAATGTGAATTAATTACAAGAAATGGTTCTAGAGATATATGAAAGTTAATTAATTATACGAAATCGAATTAGCCACGGTATAACGGTGGCTATATATTTTTGGTGGCTGCTACATGACAAAGTTGCCCTAGACACGGTAAATTTGTTTCCAACAACGTTATACTGGTAGTTTTATTTTACTTTTTGACACTATCATAATCACGCATAACAAAGATACTTATTTAACATATATATATATATATATATATATATATATATATATATATATATAGGGAATAACATTTGTCATTTTAAAGGATATAAGCTTATATCATTTTAGATCATAACCATTGATTTCTGTCCATTAACGGTTATAATTTATTGGATCAAAATTATAATTAATTAATAATAAATTTAGCCCATTAAGTTTGACCCAATAGATTATAACAAATCAATGGTTAAGATTTAAAATGATATAAGGTTATATCCTTTAAAAGAATATATATTTCTCCCATATATATATATATATATATATATATATATATATATATATATCCTTTAATTTCTTACAATTTTTAGAACCAAACTGTAATTGAGACAGAACAAACATGAACGATGAAAGGAAATAATATAAAATTATTGATGGCCTTCACTTGTTGGGTTGAAATAGTTTTTTTATATACTTTCGTATACTTGTGCAGATCATAAAATACTATGTCAATAATTTCTTTAATTTTTTAATAGGGTTAGTGATTGAGTTTAATGATTTTAAAATTTTAAGCACTGAATAAATAAAATATAATTATAGGATAAAAACAAAACATAAAACAAAATCAACCATGACAAATAATATAATTTTCACAACAAACATAAATTGTTTGAAATAATAGGAACAAAACCTAATTGTAAGTCACGGCTCTACCTCAGTCAGTATTTGCTCCCTCTTAAATTTACTCTTTTGGATCGTTGTTAGTATATTGAACTTCCATAAACTTGGAAACTCAATAAAAAAAGAAAAAATGTGTTTCATTTTAAATGACACAAGTTGTATTATTTCATGGACACAAAGAGGCAGGACCCACATATATTTTTTTTTTTCAGTGCGACTTACATCACTTTATGTCTATGAAATGACACAACTTGTGTCAATCAAAATGGCACACACTTTTTTCTAAAAAAAATTATTGTTTCTAATATTGTAAGAGATAATGCTATCTCCTAACATATATATAAGTGTATGTGGTTTATTATTTTTTTCTCTTTCCCATGGCCTCACATGAGTAGTCGTTCTACACATTTTTATGTGTGTGAAATAGATAATATTATCTATTATAATATGATAAATATGTTAGGACCCAAAAAAATAAAGCAAATACAAATTCAGATAAACAACTCAAAATTCAAATAAGAACATCAGCGAAAGTAAATGACACATAGGACTTTTTACGTGAAAAATTTAATATGGGAAGAAAAATCATGAGACCTTTATTGCAATTCACCCAAATTTTCACTATCAATATAATAATAATATTAATAATAATATAATCAGAGCGTTTTCTCTTTATGTAAGAGTAGAAGGATCAAATAATATAATCTAAAAAGATGGAAATTTAGAGAGAAGAAGAAAAAGAGAAGTCACCAATAATGTTCCAAACGGGGAAAACACATCTGCGACTTTAGAGACCTCCAAATTACAAAGCGACCGTTGGATATGAAATAACAGATACCACAAACCTATGTAGCACTGATACGACACGTGACACGTGACACGACACGACACGACATTCCAACACGTCAATCCTAAAAAATTATGGATTTTGACATGTTGGGACACATATTAATATTAAATAATATTTTTAATTTATATAGCGTATATTTCATTTAATATTCAATAATTTAACAAAAAAATGAAACTAAATTAATAATACTCATCAACACGTTATAAAGGTGGAAGCTTTAATAAAAAAAATAGGAACTGGGATGAGAGAGAGATAACATCAGATAGAAAGATCAAATCATATTAGAGAGAGATCAGAGAGAAGGAGATACAACAAAGAGCGTAATAGAAATTAACAATAATGATGCTGAGATGATCTCTGAAAAAAGACAAAAAAATAAAATTGATATGATCAGGTGGAAGCTTTATTAATATATTTTAATTTTTTTAAAAATTAATTTTTTTAAAAAAAATGTTTTTTTACGAAAATGTCATTTGACCGTGTCGGAGCGTGTCAGACACAGTCAAATTCGAGTGTCGAAATGGTCAACGTGTAGGAAATGTTAACCGCATGTCGAATACCGTATCAAAACGTGTCGACATGTCGAACACGACACTCCCTATTTTTTAGAGTGTCCGTGCTTCCTTGCCACAAACACTTTCGTGAAATTTGAAATCGTTCCAATAAAGTCTCACAGTTAGATTTGTTGGAGAAGTCCTCTTTCCTTTCTTTTTATTTTTTTCTTTCACCTCCCTATTCTTTCTCTTATTTTTCTTTCTGCTTTTTAATATTTTCAGTACTATAAATACACTGATTAGTCTATATATCCTTTATCAAATATAGAAAAAAAAATGTATTTATAATACCTTATTTTTATAGTTACTTTCTTTCATTTATTTTTGGATAAAGATGTACACCTACTCCGGGTACGAAAGTGCTGCGACTCTCTTCTCGTTTTTATTTGTGTGGCGCTACACTACAAACATACTGCACTTTTTTCTTTTCTTTTAAATCTAGGTTAAAAGGAAATTGGGCCTAAAAAAAATAGCTTACTAAGCTTCTTAAAGAATCCTTTTCTCTTCATGTGGGGTCTGCGTAGCGTAACATTATTTCGTTTACTTGTTTGTCTTGAACTCCTGACATGTGTATAAATTCAGGGTCCCTACGGCTATATTACATGCACCATTTTTAATGGTACTCTGAAAACTAAAAAAGGGTTGTTACAGCTTCAAGAACTTGGTTATACAAGCTTGAGAATTTCTAGTTTCTAGTTTCTAGTTTCTAGTTATGGCCACCTTCACCTTCCACACTGAAACTGTTCAATCATGGCTAGTCCTTAGTAGACTTCACATACTCTTCCACTTAGTTGTTGTGTTGCTCCTCTTTTACTACCGCATCACCAACCTCTTCTATGACAATAACACACCAACTCTACCATGGATTCTTATAACCATAGCAGAACTTATTCTAGCTATGCTATGGTTCTTCAACCAAGCCTTCCGGTGGCGGCCGGTGTCTCGGACCGTCATGACGGAGAACTTGCCGAGTGATGGGAACTTGCCGGGGCTTGACATCTTTGTGTGCACGCTTGACCCTGAAAAGGAACCTACTGTTGAGGTTATGAACACTGTTATTTCAGCAATTGCAATGGACTATTCACCCAATAAGCTCGCCGTGTATCTCTCCGATGACGGTGGTTGTCCGGTGACTCTGTGTGGTATTAAAGAGGCTTCTGAATTTGCTAAGGTGTGGCTTCCTTTTTGTAACAAATATGGAATCAAATCAAGGTGTCCCAAGGTTTTCTTCTCTCCTATGGGGGAAGATGAACACTTTATTCGGACAGATGAATTTAAGGCAGAGGAAGAGATGATCAAGGTATAAGAAAATCTATATAATGGTTTCTATTTATGGGGTCAATTATAAATTAGGTTATCACAAGTGACATATATAAGCATAATGCATAACTCTGCTAAAATAACTCATCTTATTGTCACTAAACCAGTACAGTTGCACGCAAAATTTTAAAAATAAATTAAAAAATTGTAGGTTATTCTTATAACGGTTAAGAATAATAAGTTTTACATTCAATTTTTATTATTTATATACTTATAATATCTAATAACTGACATATTTAATAAAAGATTTTATAAATGTTATGTTGTAGAAAAATTGTTAAGTTATGTTATAAAGATAATAATGATAGATCCATTGCTGTTTTCAGAAAGAAAGAAAGAAGTGTGAGATCCACTATCATTGTCTCTGTAACATAACCTAATAATTTTCCTACAACATAACATTTATAAAACCCTTTAATAAATTAAAACGGTTAGATATAAATATAATAAAATGATCCTAACCCATTTAAAAAAAAAACTTAAAACGTCACTATGATATTTGTTCCAAGGGATCGATGGTTTTGATTTGTGGTTTGAAGGGGGAGGATCAACTATAGAGTAATATGATCCGAGGAGGATCGACCCAATAGTATGCAATGCAGGAATCAACTGTATTATTATTAACTTAGAGTGGCTATCTACTTATCATATAATTATTGTTTCGAATGAATTAGGATCCAATTTCGGGTAAAAAACAACTGTATTATTATTATATTTGGTTGTAGTCTTATATTTCATGATTAAAATAGTAATTAAGTAAAGTTGTTTATAAAAGTAATGGTTCTAAGATTTAAATTCTTAATAATATATGTAAAATTCGCCTTGTATTATAATTTATTCTTACTTTGATCAATAGTAGGTGTTTACATTAAATTTATAACAATATTATTTATATATCATATTTTTAACATTTATCTTTTCACATGTTTTCCTTATAAGAGAGAGAATAAAAAATGTAAAGGTGTAAATTACATTTTTGCTGAATTATGGAAATTAATAGTTTCAATTAACGAGATCTGGATTAGTCAAAATGAATTTGGATCCTTTTTATTCGAGAGAAATATATAAACAAGTAGCAGTTATATTTTCAAAACTATTTGAATATTGACCTCTTTAATAAAACTTCTCATCAAATTCAAAGAATTCAAAACCAATCACATTCTTTATATTTATTATGGAAAATGATAGTCTCATGCTACATAAGATACTTATCTCATGTTATAGACCTATAGAATTTTGTGCCAATTTTTTTTCTTTTCAAATTGTGAATTTCTCATATTATCACTCTCATAAGAGTACTATCTCATGTAACATGAGATTAGTAAACCTCATTTATTATCTCAGGCTTATTTAAAAAAACCATAATTATATAAACAAGTGATGAACCTCAACATTGTTTAAAGTTAATATGTTAAAATATAAATAATATAAAACAAACTTAGTTACTAGTCATGTCATTGCATAGTTGCCTTTTCATTGTGGAACCAGTGGTGGGGTCCACCGATTAAAGTGACCTGCTTAAGAAATTTTTCTATTTTGTTTTTTGACTATGTTGTAAGGGAAAATTCTTTTTTATGTTGCAGGAAAGTTTTTTTCTTATGTTAGTGAGAGTTTGTTTTGTGCGTAATATTTTTTTTGTTTTCTTTATTTTTTATATGTGGGTCCCACCATAAATTTGAGTGTGTAGAAAATTTCCTCCTTTCTAATAGCATGAGAAAAGCATTGCACATGTTGTAAAGTGAAATAGATATGTTGTAAGGGAAAAAGTTATGTTGTAGGAGAGTTCTCTTCTCATGTTAGTGAGAGTTCGTTTTGCGTGCAATAATTTTTTTAGTTTTCTTTATTTTTTATATATGAGCCTTATTATAAATTTGAGTGTGTAGAAGATTTCCTCCTCTCCAATAGCATAAGAAAATCATCGCCCATGTTGTAAAGTGAAATAGAAACAGAATAGGGGCCAAAATCTTTCCAAAAAAAGGGGGGCACATTAACAATTTCTTCTTTTGTGTCTAGCTGTATTCAGTACAAGCTCATTTTCTTTTTGTTGTGCTTGAGTATTTTTTTGATACAAGTTGTTCTTCAATATTATCTCTGAAGTACGGTAATAATATCCGACTCACGTGATGTTGTTGCTATTTTGCAGGATAAATACAATAAAATGCAGAAAAATATTGAGAAATTTGGTTCGGACCCTAAAAATTGTTGTATTGTGCCTGATAGACCAACTCATATTGAGGTATTTATTTATTTATTTATTTATTTTTATTTTTTTGATAACATTTATTTATTTATTTAAGTTGAGATGAAGAGTGAAATGGTAAGGGGATGATCACAAATCAAGGAGACATAAAATTGCTACCACTAGATGATCTTAAATAATGGAATTTTTGTTAAAATAGTATTCATTTTCTGTTAACATATATTCTCCGTAATTATATAAAAGAATATCCAGTAAATATTTGCTAGATTATTTAATTCTATGTTAATTATTTTGAGCAATAGTCCTGTTTGATGAAAATATATTCACTTAATTAACAACTTTTTTTTTTTTTCTGTCACTAGGTGACTTTATTGACATTTAATGCACAGAGTTGCAACTAAATGACCCGATTAAAACAAATTTATAATCTTACAAACTTAAAGGTTCAAAATGTAGATTAAATGACTATTTTGTCTCCATTTTAATGAAAAAGTATTACTTTATTTTTTTTTTCAAATTGTATATAATATCAATTTGCACCTCTTCTCAAACTATATACAAATCATTTGACCAAAATTTGACCCCACACTTATTTAAGTAAATGAGTAATTTATTTGAGTAAATAACTCATCAAGAATTAGGGTTTGCTCAAATTTTGGTCAAGTAGGGGAAATTTGATATATAATCTAATAATAGGGACATATTAATATATAGTATGGAAAAATGAATAAAGTGATAAATTGATTTTAGAAGACAGACAAAATGATCAATCAACCTTAAAATGTAGAATGAAAACTTAAATGTTCTGAACTTAAGTATATGATGAGAAAAAAAAATATTACAAGTTCTGTTCACTTTGAAGTTGCAATTCTACATTGGTTAAAGATGAATTAAATGAAAACTATATAAATGAAAGAATAAAAAACTCAATACCTTAAGATTTGAACATATAGTCCATTGATAAGTTTTCCCCTGACCTCCCCTAACTGCCCAATAATTTCTTTGTAATCCATTACTATTACGTGTGGAACTAATGTATAGACGTTACATTTGATTTGTAAAAATATTTGTAGTTAGGATAAAGTTTATGTTGAAATAGACATAATAACAAACTCTGACTTCATGCTAAAACATGGTTGATATTATTATTATAAATTCATTTGGGGCTATATATCATTCCTTGAGTACTGTGGTTCGCATAACACATCAAAGACACGTCAATTTTCAGTCATAGAGAAGCAGTTTTATTGTTACCCTGTTTTTATAATCTTCAAATTTAATAGATACTTGCACATTTATGTTTTGTACATAACAGTTATAATGGAATGAAATTTAATGCCCTGTTTTGTTCCAATTAACTTCAACAAAAATAACTCTTTGAGTTCATTCATACGAAAATGTAGTTGATAAACTTTATTATTATTATTTTTCTAGATTATAAATGATCAAACGGAAATGCCACTCGTTGTTTATGTGTCTCGTGAAAGAAGGCCATCGGTTCCTCACAGATACAAAGGAGGAGCCCTCAACACATTGGTGTGCAAACTCTGAATTTGATCTCTACTTTCCACTTTGTCTTCCTTTTTGAATTTCTGATATACTTAATCAATTGAGCAATTCCTTAATTGTGGTTACAGCTCAGAGTCTCAGGGCTAATCAGCAATGGCCCTTATGTACTTGTAGTCGATTGTGATATGTACTGCAATGACCCATCTTCGGCCAAACAAGCCATGTGTTTCTTTCTTGATCCTGAAACCTCAAAAGATGTTGCTTTTGTCCAATTCCCTCAAATGTTTCACAACCTTAGCAAGAAAGACATCTATGATAATCAAACTAGGATTGCTTTTAAGGTAAATCAACAAATTATTAAGCACTTTATTTTAATTTATTTTTTTCTTTCACTTCTGCTTGTTTATTTTGTTTGATCATATATCTGATAACAAGGTAATTTCTTTCAGACAATGTGGCAAGGAATGGATGGACTAAGAGGTCCAGGTCTATCTGGAAGTGGCAATTACTTAAGTAGAAGAGCATTGCTCTTTGGAAGCCCAAACCAAAAGGGTACGTATGGACTGACTCATTATATTTTTTTTATTGATATACACATATTTATCCTAAAGTTTATCTAAATTTTCAGATATTTTGAGCCATGTAATTCGAAATCCAGAGACATTTCACCGGTTTGATTCTTTTGACAAACTATTTATCAATTTAATGCGAGCGAGAGATATATTGGAGTATGCGCGTTTAAGTCGCGCATTCTTTTCATGTGTGACTTGTGCAAAAGGCAAAATGTACCTATCACATGTCGCTCTCTGCAAGATGCGCATGAGTCGTGCGCTGACTTGAAATCGCATTGTGCTAAATTTTACAAAAGTCATGCATAGAGGTGATGTGTGACTTAAACGTGCACATTAATTTTTCCATGCGCTTTTCACTCGCATTATACTAGTAAATAATATGCCAAAGGAATTGAACTGATAAAATATATCTGATTTCACATTGATAAAAGTCCAAATTTTCACCATATGAACAATATGTTTGGCCATCCTGCCAGGTCACTCATTTTCTATAGGATTCCATTTTATGGTGATTAAGCATTGATCAAAGGGGTTTGCATTTGTCATTTAACATGACATAACAAACTTTCCTACACACACAACATTTTGTGAGGCCCACAATTTTTGAAGAAAAAAGAAAAAAAGAAAATTACGGCACGCAAAATGAATCTCTATAAAATTACACAATCACTTTTCCTAGAACATAACTCTTATAAAACCCTTGATCATACCCAAAAACTGCTGATTTCTAATTCATCAGGTTGTGTGGTTTTTTATTCATAATGGCAGATGACTATCTTCTTGATGCCCAAAACAACTTTGGCAAGTCTAGCATGTACATAGAATCACTGAAGGCCATCCGTGGACAACTAACTGCCAAAAACAATATTTCAAGAGATGTTATTTTAAAAGAAGCTCAAGCAGTGGCCTCTTGTTCCTATGAGAAAAGCACAAATTGGGGTGAAGAGGTAAGTACATACGTGCTACATATATACCTATTACACTTTGATTATGCATAAAAATTGACAATTTTGTAAATGTAACTTGATTGCTATCCACAGGTAGGATTCTCTTATGCTATATTACTGGAGAGTACAGTTACTGGCTATCTTCTGCACTGCAGAGGATGGAGATCAACCTACCTATACCCAAGAAGACCATGTTTCTTGGGGTGTGCCCCCACTGACATAAAGGAGGGTATGCTACAGTTGGTGAAGTGGTTGTCCGAACTTTGTTTGCTTGGATTCTCCAAATACAGCCCTTTCACTTATGGGATTTCAAGAATGCCCATTATTCATACCTTCACATTTTGCTTCCTGACAATGACAACCCAATATGCTGTTGCCTTCATCCTATATGGCATCATTCCTCAAGTATGCTTCCTGAAAGGAATTCCTATGTTTCCAAAGGTGAAGTTCAATACAAGTCTTGAAAAATATAAAATTCTAAATCATTTATATCATTAAAATAATACCCAAATAATAATGAAATTAAAGTTGTGATTGTGGATACCTTATTAGGCCATCATAAAACCAGAGGAAATAAGGCAACTTGAGATTAGAATCTTCCTTTCTATTGCCCATTTCAAAAATAACAGCCTTATTGTAATGAGAGCATATAATTAATAAGACTTAAACCCAATATAAATAGGTTAGAAATGAGATCTAACCTGATACCCTAAAAAAAGTTTATGTCCACTAGATTCACTTATCTTGGAAATTAAGGTCACACTAAAATATACATTGCTGTCCAATTGAACCCAATACCGACAGATGCCAAAAGCCCAACTTATCATAATTACAATGGACTAATCAAAATAATTAAAATTGAAATACCCATTAGCCTGATTAATTTTAAAAATAAAATTAATTAATTAATATTACCCATTTATATAAAAACTTCTAACCACTCTTTCAGTTGTGCTATTGCTATGTATTTTTGTTAGGGTAAAGTGTGTGTCATTTTAAATGATGTAAAGTTGTGTCATTTTAAGAGAGAGAAAGAGATAGATAAAAGAGGAGAGAGAGTTGACAAAAAATATAAAGGTGTGGGCCCCACCTCTTTGTGAGAGTGAAAGGATATAAGTTGTGTCATTTAAAAGGATAAACATTTTTCCCTTTTTGTTACTATCATTTTCTCTTCTTTTCTTTTGTCATCTTCCAATATATGCTACTATAAGATTTCTGGTTTACTGAGTCCATAATTATTTAAATAAGTAGAAATTCTATTAAATTATTTAACATTCTTTAATTTATGGGAAAAAGACTTCTCATCTTGCATGAGAAGTCTCCTCTCCTACCACTATCATTTTAATGTCCGTGCTAATCACTTTTTTATTTTTAATTTTTTTCTTTAAAATGGGCCCCACCTCTTTCTCTCTCTGTAGGAAAACTTGAATTTCTCATGCAACACGAGAAATTACAAACCCTTAATTTATTTATGTTACAGGTTTCAGAACCCTGGTTTTTAGTGTTTGCAATATTGTTTGTATCCACTCAAATTCAGCATTTGATTGAGATCCTTTCTGGTGGTGGCTCCCTGGCAGTATGGTGGGATGAACAAAGAATTTGGATTCTAAAGTCAGTTACTGGATGCTTATTTGCACTTACAGCAGCAACCAAGAAATGGTTAGGGTTAAACAAGGTGAAATTCACTTTATCAAACAAAGCCATTGACAAAGAGAAGCTCAAGAAATATGAGCAGGGTAGGTTCGATTTCGAGGGTGCAGCTTTGTTCATGTCTCCATTGGTTGTATTACTCTTAGTGAACATTGTGTGCTTCTTTGGGGGATTATGGAGACTACTCAATGTGAAAGATTTTGATGAGATGTTTGGTCAACTTTTCCTGCTTAGCTATCTAATGGCTCTTAGTTATCCCGTTGTTGAGGGGATAATAACTATGAAAAGCAAGGGTGAGAAGTGAACATTGCTTGCGAGTAATTAGGCTAATTCAGGTATCTGAACTGTATTCATAAATAATCAGGCTCATTTAAGAATCTGAACTGCAAAATAAGTACTTGAATCTTTCTAGTTTCTAATGTGTATGCTGCCATGCATCTTGCTGGAAGCTGACCTTTCTTGATTATTTTACTTTTATGCCACTTTTGTCCTAATGTATTTTGACGTTGAAAGTCCTTCCTTACATATGAAATAAATCGAATTCCAATGATTGTATTGTAGAAAAAAAAAAGTATTTAGAAAGTAAAAATTATTCTCTTGAAACTCAATAAAAATTCTAACTTTTAATTAGGTTTTCTTTTTAACAATCAGAGTTTTTTTTTTTAACAATTCAAATCCACACTTAATGTGGTATTGTGGTTAATGGTAAAAAAGTACAAACTGGACACGTAAAAGCTATTTGTTGCTGTAAATAAAAGTATTTTGCATATCATAATGGGTAATACATCTTTTGGGGAAATTATTTTTTAAAGGTGTGGGATCCATGGGTCTTTTTTTGCTCTTTCCTTGTATTGTAGGACTCACACCTAAACACAAGGTTCATCCTCGTTCTTGATAAAACCGTTACTCTTAACGACTTCATCAAAACGAATATTCCAACTCCTTGATGCTTGTTTTAGCCCATATATTGACCTTTGAAGTTTGCATACCATATGCTCCTGATCTTTGATTTCAAAGCCTTCAGGTTGTGTCAGGAAGTTTTTTTCCCCTTCAAAGCAGGATAGATGTATTACCCATTTGTAAAAAGTTTCTACAAACAAGATTTTAATTTAAAGTGTATAAATTATATTTTTGTAAAGGGGAGATATTTTGATTACCTTATTTTCAATTATTATTATGGAGAGTATATAATTATAATATTAATTTTTTTTTACGTCAGCTGACAAGTTTACGAAGAAAGAGAAAAATAAATAATTTTAATATTATAATTACATAATTCCCAAAATACATAGTTAACAGTGGATGATGTTATTGAAGACAGTGGGTGATATTATATTACTAATAGATTTGAACCCATGTATAAAGCAGATGAGGTAGATGATCAGAATTATCACTGTGCAATTATAAGATTGAAGAACAGACTTACTTGGTATGTATGAAACAGACAGAATCAGAAGAATGAAAAATGCAGTATCAGAGGAGTAAAATCCTAGCCCACAGAACGTGTCTCCTTAAGACAATTTGCCCCCTCACAGATGCCAAAGGTTGATGGACACTTGTCTCCCAGAATAGAACGGATTTCGTCTGAAGAATGGTGGCACTACCAATCAACAGCCCAAACGAATACAACAAAATGCCAGAGGAAGTCACACCGGAGTATGAACAAGAATATGCAAAATCGGAAGGAGAAAAATTCTGGCAGAGTTTCAGTGCAGAAAATCGGATAAATTTCTGAAGGTGTCAGTGTCTATAAATAGACACTGACCGGTCACGATGAACAGTCGCCGGCGGCGGCGAACGGGTGCGACCGGTGACCGTTCCGATGAACAGGTACAACCGAAACACAACCGGTGACCGGTTCGCGAAAGAGAAGAACCTGTTCGGTTCAAAATTGCTCAAAAAATTAGCAGGTAGAAACGTTTGGGTTCGAAGTTTTTGGAGGGAAGCAACGGATACATTTTTGGACAAAATATTAAAAAATAATTTTATTACACACATATGAACCGAACCGAACAGACAGCGGCGCGCGCGGTGGACCAAAGCCCACCTAGCTCCTCCCCCTCCACAAAATGTGTAGTGACCCAACGGCCAATCTAGGAGAGTGAGGTGGGAGCTTATAAACTCTCTTACTTCCAACTATTTGTCCAATGTGAGACTTTGTTAAAATTCACACACCTCTTCAACTTCCCTTTTCTCTTTTCTTTATTAACCTACTTCTTATTCATAACTAATAGATCATTGTTCATTAATTCCAATGGAGAAAAAATAAGATACTATGAATATCTCCATCTTCTTGTAATATTTAAGGTTGAACCCAAATATAACTAAGTAAACAAACATATATTTGGAATCATTAGGAGGACCGTACCAACTTACCAAGCACTTATGGTCATTAAGCTCTTACATTCATTCAAGCTTTGAATTTGGAGGCTGTGGACCTTACTAATAAGAATAACTTCGTGAGTAATCTCATAACCTGAGACCTTAGTTAGAACCCGGCCCATTATAACAAAAATTAATATTAATAACATTATTAGATTGCAAAAAAATAATTTTGATTTAATGAAGTAACCTAATTTCAGTACTTTGTAAAATGATGATGCTAAGATAATAAGGATACAATCATTAATATGACAAGTTTTATACATAGTTGTTAAAATAACAAACTACAAGACCAATTTTTTTCTTAAAAAAAAAAAAAAAAAAGCACGTGGCAAGTCCATGTGTCACGGGAGCTCTTTGTGCCATTTTCTTTTGTTCTACATAAAGAAATCATAGAGCGAGCTCCACGCGAGGGAGTTTAAAATAATAAAGTAGCCACATGAAACATAAAAAAATGCCAGTACCACTTATTTGATTACTTAATTACCCGTAGGTTCATTTTTTCTGCAGTTACAGATAAATTATTCGCAGTAAGTTTAATGTGACGTCGTTTTGGTACAGAAATTATGATATTTTTGTAATTTTAATTTATTTTAATGTTATAATAAGTTTTATATTTATAATTTTTTAATATTTCAATACCAAAACGATGTCGTTTTAAGAATAAATAGATAACCTATCTATTTTACATTTTTCCTTATATGTACTACAAGTTAGTTAATTTGTTCTGCTTCTTTTTTCTTTAAACCTAAAATAAAGTTAATAAGAGTCAATGAGGTGTTCTATAAATGAAAGGGTGTAGCAGAGTGTTATATCCTAACCTCAAGAACTTGGTTACAAGCTAGAGAAATTCTAGTTTCTAGTTATGGCTACCTTCACCTTCCACAGTGAAACTGTTCAATCATGGCTACTCCTTAGTAGAATCCACATATTCTTCCACTTAGTGGTTGTGTTGTTCCTCTTTTACTACCGCATCACTAATCTCTTCTATGACAATATCAAACCAACTCTACCATTGATTCTTATGACCATAGCAGAGCTTATTCTAGCTGTGCTATGGTTCTTCAACCAAGCCTACCGGTGGCGTCCGGTGTCTCGGTCCGTCATGACGGAGAAGTTGCCGAGTGATGGGAACTTGCCGGGGCTTGACATCTTTGTGTGCACGCTTGACCCTGAAAAGGAACCAACTGTTGAGGTTATGAACACTGTTATTTCAGCAATTGCAATGGACTATCCACCCAATAAGCTCGCCGTGTATCTCTCCGATGACGGTGGTTGTCCGGTGACTCTGTATAGTATTAAAGAGGCTTCTGAATTTGCTAAGGTGTGGCTTCCTTTCTGCAACAAGTATGGGATCAAATCAAGGTGTCCCAAGGTTTTCTTCTCTCCTATGGGAGAAGATGAACGGCTTATTCGGACAGATGAATTCAGAACAGAGCAAGAACAGATCAAGGTATATAAATATAAACATTGGATTTTAACTAAAATTATCTCCACCCATATTAAAGCATGTTGGGACATTCAGAAATTTAGAAAAATATAAAACCTCACCTACTAACATTTTTAGATTGAAATATTTCTTTATATGTTTGTGATCAATTGGTAATGAGTTCAATCATTATTGTCTCGGTTCAATTAATAAATAATTAAATATTATAAATTTTTTTAATACATGTAGGTCTTATCAGTTTAAATATTTAGATATTTAGGTTGAATTGTCTCTTTACGGATATCATACAAAAAGAAGAGAAATAAAGAAAAATTAGATTTTACATACTTTATGTGTATAGAAGATATGTTTTATTTCAAAATTGGGAGTTATGTTACTAATTACATACTCAAGAAGTCTCTGTAATTTTATTAACAATAAATGCTTTTTTCGAAAAAAAATATGTATACTTTTAAATGATATAAAGTTATCTCTTCTTAAAAGAGTGACATTTTTTTTTTCTACTTCCATAATCTATCCTTTTCTCTTTCTTAAAAAAATCATCCTTCAAAATACACACACTTTTCCCATGTTTTTTACCTTGTTACTTTTAAGTTTATGCTTGACTACTCACTTTTATTGTTGATCTATTCTCAACAAGTCAGGTAAGTACTTGAAACAAAAAGGTTCCCCAATCCAGAGAATGGGTTGGGTTGGATGTTCTTGAATTTTTTATTTTTTTTTGTTCTGACGGGAAAAGAAAGCTGAATATTCTTTAAGTCAGGATGTAAAATATTGATTGAGACATTGACTTTGTTTTATTTTTGTTTGTATCACTTTCCATTGCTGATTCAGTGGATGGTGGTTGTCACTCTTCAGAATTAAATTTTTGGTTTCTCTGATATGTCTTGGGAATTTTGGCTGTTGCTATGTTAGGGTATTATATCTAAAATTAATTTTTGAATATTTATTAGTTATTTGTTTCATGTTAAGTGTTTAACCAATTATTAATTATTATTAAAACACAATATTTAATAACTCATATTAATTGATAGCTTTTTAAAAAATATAAGACGCGGAAGTTACTTAAAAATTTAATTTATCAATTTTTTTTATGTACATATATTTCGTATTTACGTAATTTTTAATTTTTAATTATAATTTAATTTATTTTTTTATTTTAATTCTGGCACTTAAATATAAAAAGATGTGATCTTAAATAATGTATGAGAAGTATTTTGCAATTTAATTTGGGAGAATGATATACATACCACCAAAAAAATTTATAATTTTTACAACTAACTTAATCATTATTGATTTTTGTCAATCTAATGGTTATAATTTATTAGAAATTATTGGGTGATATTTATTAATTAATTATTATTTTCAATAAATTATAACCGTTAGATTGACATAAATCAACGATGATTGTAAAAGTAATAAATTTTTTTAGTGATAAATATATTTTCTTCCTTTCATTTGTAATTTGAGTCTGAGCTATTATAATTAATATTTCTGTGCTCAACGTTTTTACAACTTTGCAGGCTAAATACGAGAAAATGCAGAAAAATATCGAGAAATTTGGTTCAGACCCTAAAAATCTTCGTATAGTGACTGACAGATCTCCGCGCATCGAGGTACTTATTAAATATTTTACTGGTTTTGGTTATATTTAATTATTTTAAATGTTTATGATAAAATTAATATTTCTTAAATGCTTAAAATCTCGTTTAAGTATCATATCTAATGAGATTGCGTAGTAACTCGCCCTGTAATAGAAAGGCTTGACACTTTTTGTGTTTAAGGTTATGAACCTTTTCTAACATTAATTAAATTTGATTCAATAATATTATCTAAAGGATTTCTTTAAAAGGGTATCTGTTAAGAAATTGAATAACAAGAAATTTTTTAAATTCTTAACATATTAAATTTCATATTTTTTATTTTTTTCAATCCTTAGCCAGTTGTTTTAGTTTTAGGTCTTATAAAAAAGAAGATTTTTATATCCAGTTCTCATATCATGTATCATCTTGAATGTCATTTTTGTCTCCAAAATCTTAGTTTTTTTTATTAGTTAAATTACAATTAATATTATATAGTTTGTTTGACAGGATAAAAGACGTTATACGATGTTAATTAGTTATATTTCTCTTAAATAATATTCACAGTAAATATTATATAATAACAATTATCGAAAATAATACAGCATAAACTATTTAAAATTAATCTCATTCGATGAGTGTTTTCTTGTAGGTCTTGTTTTGTTAAATATATTAAAAATCGAACTAGAAATTGAACCAATAAGATGCCCATTCATGGTTTTTAGTCAACTAAATCCGTAATTAAATTATAATTAAATTAAGATGGTTTATGGTTGCAATTAATTAACTTTAATAACAAACAAGGTATTATTACAAACTACTTCAATTAATTAACAAAGCTTTTATGGTTAGCTGAAGGGGAAAAAAGAAAGCTAGTTGGTGATGTTACTTTGTTATTTGTTTTTAGATTATAAATGACCAAAAGGAAATGCCACTTGTTGTTTATGTGTCTCGTGAAAGAAGGCCATCACTTCCTCACAAATTCAAAGGGGGAGCCCTCAACACATTGGTGTGTACTCTATGAATTTGATCACTTACTTTCTCTTCTCCTTTCTCACTTTCTGCCATATTTAACCAATGTAGCACTTCATTAATTGGATTTGCAGCTCAGAGTATCGGGTCTATTAAGTAATGGACCATATGTGCTTGCAGTGGATTGTGATATGTATTGCAATGATCCATCCTCGGCCAAACAAGCCATGTGTTTCTTTCTTGATCCTGAAACCTCTAAATATATTGCATTTGTTCAATTCCCACAAATGTTTCACAACCTTAGCAAAAAAGACATCTATGATAATCAATCTAGGACTGCTTTTAAGGTAAGCCCACAAATTATTAAGCCCTTTTATGTCTTCTTCTTTCACTTATGCTTCTTTGTTTTGTTTGATGAACTATCTGATGACATAGAGTAATTTCGTTTAGACAATGTGGCAAGGCATGGATGGACTAAGAGGTCCAGGTCTTTCTGGCAGTGGCAATTACTTGAATAGAAGTGCATTACTATTTGGAAGCCCAAACCAAAAAGGTACTTATAGCATACCCTTTAATAAAATTTAGTAACATAGTTTGGCCTTCACACAAGGTCACTCACTTTCTATATAGGATTCATATTTTATGTTGAGAGTGTATCAATCACACCAAAGAGTTATTTCAGAGATTCACCAGCTCATGTGATTTTTTATGCATGACCATAGATGACTATCTGCTTGATGCCCAAAACTACTTTGGCAAGTCTACCATGTACATAGAATCAATGAAGGCCATTCGTGGACAGCAAACTACCAAAAAGAATATCTCAAGAGATGCAATCATACGAGAAGCTCAAGTAGTGGCCTCTTGTAACTACGAGACAAACACAAATTGGGGTACAGAGGCAAGTGTATAAGTACATACATATAACAACATAAATACCTTTTTTAGTTTTCAATTGATATTAAATAAGATGGTTATGAACAAAAGTTGATGATTTTTGTAAATGTAAATTTGATTGCTATCGCAGGTAGGATTCTCATATGGCATCTTACTAGAGAGTACCATTACTGGCTATCTTTTGCACTGCAGAGGATGGAAATCAGCTTATCTTTACCCAAAAACACCATGTTTCTTAGGTTGTGCCCCAACTGACATCAAGGAAGGCATGCTTCAGTTGGTGAAGTGGTTGTCTGAACTTTGCTTGCTTGGAGTCTCCAAATACAGCCCTTTCACTTATGGGTTTTCAAGAATGTCCATTATGCATACCTTCACTTATTGTTTCATGTCAATTTCATCCCTATATGCTATTGGCTTCATCCTTTATGGCATTGTACCTCAAGTATGCTTCTTGAAAGGAATTCCTGTGTTTCCAAAGGTGAAATTCCTATACAAGTCCTTTTTTTTTTTAACTGTTATCTATCGGTTCATCGATTAGTCTGATTTGAGCCAGATAGGATTATAACTATCTTTCCAGGGACTCGAACTTGGAACAACTAGTTAAGCTGGAACAACCCCTTTCCAGTTGATCTTTGACTACTCATATTGAGGAATTTGTTTTTGTTACTATCACTGTTTGTCTTTTTATCAATATGTTACTATAAGATTATTACTTTATCTAGCATATAATATAATTAGGACTTGAATTTAACATGCTTTAATTCATTTATGTTACAGGTCACAGACCCTTGGTTTGCAGTGTTTGCAATATTGCATGTATCCACCCAGATTCAACATTTGATTGAGGTCCTTTCTGGCGATGGCTCTGTTACAATGTGGTGGGATGAACAAAGAATTTGGATTCTGAAGTCAGTCACTAGCTTATTCGCAATTATAGATGGAATCAAGAAATGGTTGGGGTTGAACAAGGTGAAGTTCAGCTTGTCAAACAAAGCCCTTGACAAAGAGAAGCTAAAGAAATATGAGCAAGGTAGGTTCGATTTCCAAGGTGCAGCTCTGTTCATGTCTCCATTGGTCGTATTGCTAGTAGTGAACATTGTTTGTTTCTTCGGGGGTTTATGGAGACTATTCAATGTGAAAAATTTTGAAGATATGTTTGGTCAACTTTTACTACTCAGCTATGTAATGGTTCTAAGTTATCCCATTCTTGTTGGGATAATCACTATGAAAAGCAAGAGCGGGTAGTGAACTTTGGTCATAAATCATTTGGCTCATTCATGAGTCTAAACTGCATAAGTATTTGTATCTTGAGATGAAATTTATTTATGCCATCATGTTGGGTACTTTAGATTAGTGTAATCTTTCACTTGAATAGTCTCTCTCTCTGGATTTTTGTTCATCATGGCAACATTTCAATACAATGAAGGGGTTTGTCATGACTCAGCATTGATGACCTCATCATTAAGATCTGGTGGGGTCCTGGTTCCAAATAAAGATACATTGCTCCTATATTGCTGACTGGGGAATTGCTTCTGAGATACTCAATTGATAAATATTGAAACATTCATTAAATAATTCATGAACTAATTTTAAAATAAGGTACTTCTTCCTTTCCCTAAACCTTATTTTTTTTTAAAAAAAACTCTCACTATATGTATAGAGACAGATTACATTTATTTGTTAATTTAAGTTCTTACACTTTACCTTTTTACATCTATATTTTCTATTCTTACGTTATTGGCATTTGCACTTCCTATTATTTAAGTTTCTAAAAGAAATTCAATATCAAATCATCACTGGTTTGTAGAAGTTGTTAAATTACTTGAGAATTCGTTTGGAGGATATTCTTTTCCAAGAATGATACTAGAATCATGCTATTAGTCAAATCTTGAAAATTTCCCACCGAAAACAAAATATCACAACCCAAAATTGGTTTTTCCTTTTTCAATACAAAACTACTTAACTTCAACAATGGATTGAGCTATATGTAACAATTGACAGTCTCTGGAACAAGATTGAGAAGGAAATAATCATGAAAGCTTGTATTACTCACATATTCAAAATGAATTAACAGAAACAAAAAAGCAAAAAAAGAAAAGATAATCTAGAGGAATTATAGTGCCTCTAGTCACTCCCAAACACACAATGGTGTCCCAAGTTCAGAATGACCCAAAAGATGTTGGGACGGGGTCCCTCAAATGATTCACGCGAAAGAGTTTATCGCCTGGTACAATTGCCAGGGCTTTTCATTATTACCGCCCAGTACAATTAGCACAATAATTTAGTATTACTGCCCGGTACAACTATCTGGTTTTCACTACAGGCTTTATCGCCCGGTATAAACATAATCCGACGGTGTGAAGTCTTCAAGTTTATAGCTCAGCAATTCAGTCTTACCGGTCGACAATTTAATATTACGGGTCGGCCAACTCAATCAATTGATCTTAATCACCGGTGGGTCTAAAACAAAGCATAAACAAGTAACTATAAAAGATCAGAGATGGAGAGAAAGACACAACAAATTTTAACGTGAAAAACCTTCTTGAATGTAAAAAAAGAAAAAGCCACGGGATACTAGTCCATAAAATCTTCCACTATATAAAGTAGGATTACAAAGAGATTCAAACTTCCCTAATCACACTAAAGGTACACTCAAACATCACCAACAATAGTGGTTACAAAGATCTTCTCTAAAGAGGTCCACTCTCAAACTTCTCTTCAGAGGAATCTCACACTCACACAATGTCTCTCAAAAGAATATCATTACAAATAGTTTACTTGGGCTTATATAGATGAGGAGAAATCCTACATCTTTTTCTAGAATCTTTAGCAAAGATGAGGTGGTTGAGCATTCATTGAGGTGGTTGTCAGACATTGAGCCATGCACCCATAAATAAAGTGCATGCTTAGCCACCAAGCATTAAAGGAGGAAAGAACCCCAACAAATTTTTCTCTTCCGACTTTAATGCGTCGAGATTAGCAGTCTACCTGTCAGGACATAGCAACTCGGCACCTTGACAACAGTCTCAAATTTCCTTGCACAGGCCAACTTTGTCATTATGTCTGCTCAGTTCTGGTCGGTTTTAACTTTGCCCAGGCCAACTTTGTACCTTTTGATATCAAAATAGTCAAGTTACACACGCTAAAGATCCTTGTGGGAACGATTTAAGGGTCTCAAATACACCCTGTATTACTTGTTGTTGCGTATACTTGCGCGCTACTTGCATAATTGTTAGCAAGGCAACAAGTTTTTGGCGGAAAATAAAATAGAGAGTTATGGGCTTTATGATGTTGGCAATTATTATGGGCTTTATGTATAACATGTTACAGGACAAAAAGAATGTTTCCTACCGACACAATGAGCTAGTAGGGTTTACCAATTTATTTTTCTCACTCCTTAATTCATTTTCTTTCTCCTCATTACTGTTTCTGCCGGAAACGATTTACTTTATCCTACAATATTATTGTTGTATTTCCCAATTATTATATGCAACAATGAACTAATTTCCAGTTTTCACATTTAAACGAATAAATGAAAGACAATATGAAATGCAAAAGGATGGCATTTGTCAAACGCAAAGTCACAAACTCCAATTCCCAATTTGGCAGTTCGCGACATGATAACTACCTTAAGATCAAAACACGGAAAATAAAATAAAATAAAATTCTGATGTTGGCAATTATTATACGCAACAATGAACTAATTTTCCCGTTTTCACATTTAAACAAATAAATGAAAGACAAAATGAAATGCAAAAGGATGGCATTTGTCAAAGCAAACTCCAATTCCCAATTTGGCAGTTCGCGACACGGTAACATTTTTAATTACCTTAAGATCAAAACATAAATATGATTTTTTAGGTAATTATCTTAACTCTTTTTAATTATTTATATAAAATTAAATAATTGAGATTATTTTATCTCTCTATAATAAAATAATACTTTAATTGTTTACCAAATTTCATTTAACATGTCATATATATATATATATATATATATATATATATATATATATATATATATATATATATATTAAAATCATTTCTGCAACCGCTTTATATACAGCAACGACAATTGTATGATTATGATTCTCCACATTTAATGCTTTCATCCTTTGTATGATTATGATTTGCTGCATTTAATGCTTTCAAGTATATATATGGCAAGTATTTGATTGCTACACGTACAACAGCTGCAGAAATGTAAACTCTTAGGGCCTGTTTGGTGTGACGTATAAGGCATGATATTATAAGCTTATACTATACGTTATGTCATTTTCAGTTGTTTGGTGTGACTACCGTATAGTATAAGCTTATACAGCATAATCCCTTAATACATCAAAAAATAATGTATAACTTAATCCGGCCTAAGGGTGAGGGATAAGACCTGATAAGAGATTGATGCATTAACATCGTTGACCAATGTAATTCTAAAAATTTAATATATTATTTTAATATTAATCTATTAAAATAAAAATTTATTTTTCAATGTATTAATTTTTAAAATATTGAATATTTTTATTTTTATAAAAATTAATTTATATTTTGGACACACTGATCAATAAATTTTTATAAAAATTAATATCATATGACATTTTTTGAAGAATTATATAAATTCTTTATTAAAGGATAATTTTATTAAAAATATTTATTTTTATCATATATAGTATTATACAGTGCATTACCAAATACTAGATGATATCATCTTATAGAATATATTATTTTATACAATACCGTGTCAAACGCTTGATAGTATTAAAATTCAATCAGGTCTTATACAATCAGACTTTATATTATCAGGTCTTATACTATCAGGCATTATCTTATACTTTGCACCAAACATGCCCTTATATATATAATGGATCCAGGACAGTTGTAAAACTTTTATTCTAGCATACCAAAAAAAAAAAAAAACTTTTATTCTAATATATTATTATTGATTTTATTTAAGGGATGAATATTTTTCATATTGTAAAAGATAATTTTATCTTCTAAACACACATAAAAGTGTGTGGGGTCCATGTAAGGAGAATAGAAAAAAAAAACATAAACCTACACATATTATGTCAGTTTTTTTATAAACAAAAAAATCAGCTCAATTGATAGAATAAAACAAGGATAGTAATATGCAACTATAAAAACAAACTAGAATTAACAAATTTTTGAAGTTTGAACATACTTAAAAGGGAAAATCACTAAACCATGTCCACGTCCTAAAATATTTTTCCTTCTACTTTATAGACATTTTTTTTCTCAATTACTTCATTTTCGTTTCTATTAAAAAAAGAAAAGAAATTCTAGTATAATATTCGAACCAAATTCGTGGGTCAAAAGTTCGCGTGAAAGAATCGCCCAATACGGGTTCAATAATATTCGAACCAAATTAAATCGGTTTATACTAAAAATTAATAATAAGCTTTGACAAAAAGATTTTAACAACGTTTGTAAAAATTTTAAGAATCTATTTTACATAAAGGAAGAAACAAGGTCATAAGGATCTTACAGAGCTTCCAACATATATATTTTATATTGATCCTTTTCAAAGGCTGTATCATAGGCTTTTTGACCCTTTTGCCCCTCATTAATTAATTAATAACCAATTTGTCCCTCCCCAGAACTATCCATCATCCTGCCCCCATTTAGTCGATCAAGTTGCACTTTTAATCGACTAAATGGGCAAAATTCAGAAATCAAGAAACACGAATTTTAGTCGACTAAATATTCACCTTGATCGACTAAATGTCGAGCACTTTTAGTCGACCAAGGCCATTATTTAGTCGACTAAATATCGCGAAAAACCCTATATCCAGACCTCTCTCGGTCTCATTTGCAATATTTTCGAAATCAAAACCCCTCTTTCTCTTGTTTGTCAGCAACGGGACCTCCAATCACCCTTCCATTTCATCCCACCATCTCCAATGCATAGTAATTGTGAAATCATTGTCATTTCCCTTATTTTCTGATTTGTTTCCCCCAAATCCGAACCCAAAACCCTAAAATCCGATTCCTACCCCCAAATTCGTGTATAAGATGAGCTCAAGTCCAAACATGTATGTTACCATGATTTACTATGATGGAAAGCATTATGAAGGCCCCAACGGTGTTCAATTTGAAGGAAAAATGAAAATGTTGAAAATTAAACGTGGCACCACGTACAATGAGCTTAAGGGGAGGATTCACCAAAAATTGGGGCTACAAGGCAGCCAGTGCGTTCAACGGATGATCGCTAGGGTAGAGTCTACAGTT